AATTATATTTTTAAAAGTTAAGCTTTAGGGCCCTGCACGGTAGCCTAGTGACTGAAGTCCTCACCTTGCACCCACTGGGATTCCATATAGGTGCTGGTTTGTGTCCCAGCAGCCCCGCTTCCCATCCAGCTCCCTGCTTGGTGGCCTGGAAAATAAGTTAAGGATGGCCCATGGCCTTGGGACCCTGCATCCAAATGGGAGACCTGAAGGAGACTCCTGGCTCCTGGCTTTGGATCAGCTCAGCTCTGACTGTTGCAGTCACTTGGGGAGCAAATCAGTGGATAGAAGATCTTTCTTTCTGTCTCTCCTCCTCTCTGTATGCCTTACTTTCCAATAAGAATAAATAAATCTTTTTTTAAAAAAGTTAAGCTCCATTTCACTTTGTCCAAATAACTGCTATAATCTAATTTTGTTCATAATAGCTCTAGTAAGAAATGGTGGCATTCAAGGCTTTAAACTATGTGTTCAGAATATATAGCCCTTTGCAAGACAATTGAAGCTGCTTCGTAGAAATGTGCTGCTCTGAGGATGTCAGCTGAGAATTATCTCAACAAACGAAATACGTTACTGCTGCGCTTACATACCAATAGTCATACTTAAATATCTTTGCATTTATTCATTTTCTTGAATACCTACCCATGTGACTTGTGTGTTTTCACACTGCAGTAATTTTATGTTGCACTTATTTAGTGTACCAAAACACACTTTGTTAGGTGACGTATAATGTATATAGCTAGGACCTGTGTACTAAAAAACTGTGGAATGACTGGATTATAATTTAAGTATTCCATTGTTGTGGAATAATCAAAATTGCTTGAACCTTTCTGCTCCCCCTTCAGCATGCACACGTGCTCTGCTTGTGTACACTTGGGGTGGGAGATAAAAAGAGAAGCACAAGCCTTGGGTATTCCAGTTCATTCAGTCCAGTACAACACTGTTCAGTAGAGAGAGAATCAAGTTACATGTGATTTCTGAAAGCTATATTAAAAAGTCAGAAACGTGGGTCTACAGCAGCGAAGGTGCCGCCCAGTTTGCCTGCATCACAGCCCAGTGCCTAGATTCAAGTCTCACCTTCCATCGTTGGAGGGTTTTTAGTTTTTTTAGGATTTATTTATTTATTGGGAAGGAAGATTTACAGAGAGGAGAGAGAAAGATCTTCCATCTGCTAATTTACGCTCCAAGTGGCCATAATGACCAGAGCTGAGCCAACCTGAAGCCAGGAGCCAGGAGCTTCTTCCCTGTCTCCCACATGGGCTCATGGTGCCAAAGCTTTGGGCCATCCTCCACTGCTTTTCCATTGCCATCTATATTTGATACCAGCTTCCTGCCAAAGTGCACCCCAGGAGGCAGCAGCTAATGGTTTGAGTGGTTGGGTGCCTCCCCGCCCTTGGGAGTCTAGGATGGGCTCCCAGGCTCTGTTGGCTGTGATAGATTGGCCATTTCCTCTTTCCTTACACAAGCAGTGAAGTCCATGGCTATGTGTCATTTTATACAGTCTGTTGCAGATGATATGCTGGTGTCAGTACATATTTCGTTATAAATAGTGTGTATATATATATGTGTATTTTAAAATATTCATTTAGTTATTTTAATTTTATGTACTTGAAAGGCAGAGTCACAGAGAGAGGGAAGGATAGAGAGTTACATCTTGCTGCCCCGGTGCCTGCGGCAGCCAACCTGGACCTGAATGCAGTCAGGGTTAGGAACTCTACTCAGGTTTCCTGTGTGAGTGGGAGGGGTCCAGGCTGAAAGCCGTCCCCTCTTGCCTCTCAGGATGCTAGAAGCTGGATGGGAAGCAGAGATAAGACACAAAGCATCTCCTGTGTTATGGCACAGCTTATGACACCAGCATCCTGTAGTGGGCACCTAGCAGGCACTCTGCTTAGGACCCAGCTCCCTAGCCATGCTCCTGAGAAGGCAGGCAAGGATGGCACACGGACTGGGGATCCTGTGACCGACATGGAAGACCTTGATGGTGTTTTTGGCTCCTGGCTTCTGGTGCAGCCTAGGCTGTTGTAGCCACTTGTTGTTAAGATTTATTTTTATATTTTGTTTATTTGAAATGGAGAGTTACAGAAGCTGGAATAGGGAGAAAAAATTGGTTCATTCCCCAGATGGTACACTTTCTGGGGCCTCTCCAAAGCCAGAAGTCAGGAGAACCTAGGTTTTCTGTGAGGCTGCAGGGGTCCAAGCACTGCAGCCATCCTGTGTTGCCTTCCCAGGCGAATTAGCAGGGAGATGGATTGGAAGTAGAGCAGCCAGGACTTGAACCAGTGTCCACATGGGAGGCCCACACTGTAGGCACCATCATAACTTACTGTGCCACAGCACCAGTCCCCAGTAACATCCTTCATAGCAGAAAAATCCAGCATAGAATCGGACATTATGTCGCAGTCTTCCCTGTGCTGCCATTTTTGATTAATACAGGTTGTTTTTCTGTTCCCCTGTGGTTCCACTGAAGCCCTGGAGTTGTGGCGGGAGCATCTTTTCTCATCGTGCAGCATTGGACATGTCCATCCCACCGTTCACTTGAGTCACTTGATGCGGACGGAGTTGGCCAGGCTTTGCTGCTTTGGATTTTCTGGGGAAATACTCTGATCCATCCCATTCACTGTGGAGCTTCCTACTGATTCATTCACTTGTTTATATCCATATTGCATCTTGGGTTTTTATCTTATTTAATAGTTTGTGATCCACATGCTCAGCTCATCCCCCGTTTGGCCCCTAGGCTCCCCTTGGTGACAGAGCCTGTGTCCTTTGGACGCGTCTGTGGTTGCTGAGTGCTCTCTTGCTTTCTGGCACAGTATTGTACCCTCGTGAGGTGATTAGCCAGTGACAATTCTTTCAGAGGTCTCATCCCTCGTACGAGGGAATGCTACATATCACAAGCTGAGAGTGAAGCGCTGCGTGCACATTCACCCCAGTGGGGCAGCTTGGAGCGCCGAGCAGGCCTCCGCGTGGGTGCCCACCAGTGGCTGCAGGCGGGACTGAATGGAGTCAGGGGAGAAGATGTCTCTGGATGCCAGTTTCACTTCCATGTTTGTAGCTCTGAGATGATGCTTGTAGCTCTGCCAGTGGTTCCCGGGCTTGTCAGAACTCTCAGCCTGATGTCTTGTATTTCTGATCCTGTGAGATGTAGTCACTGTTTCTACACATGTGCCTCCATCCAGTCAAGGCGTATTTTACAGAGAGAGAAAGAAAGAAAGAAAGAAAGAGAAGGTCTTCCATGTGCTGATTCACTCCCTGAATGGCCACAATGTCTGGAGCTGAACTGAGCTGAAGCCTGGAGCTTCCTCTGCGTCTCCCTTGTGGGCAAAGGGGCCCAAGGACTTGGGCTATCCTCTGCTGCTTTTTCAGGCTCTAATCAGATGGGAAACGGTGCCACCAGGGCACAAACCTATAGAGTGGAGGATTAGCTTGCTGTGCTACTACCATACTGGTCCCAAAATAAGTCTAATTGATGTGAAAATTTTTTAGTATGCATAGTTTTTTTATAACGAATATTTTCAGTTAACTTTTGTGAACTCCTCATATACATGCGTTAGCATTTAAAAAAACATTTTTTCATTTTATTGGAAAGAAAGAAATAGAGAAGCAGAAACGAAGATCTTCCATGAGCTGATTCACTCTCCAGATGCTCACAGCAGTCTTGACTCTAGCAAGACTGAAGTTAGAAGCCAGGGGTTCAGTTGCTCACCTGCTGCCTTCCAGGTGCACATAGCCAGAGGCCAGATCAGAAGTAGAGCCCAGGCCCGATGTACAGCTACTACCGTTGGATTTAGGGGAGGGACAGGGAGGTTGTAAGGAGGCGAGGTCAGGGCTCATGCAGGGTCATGCATTGCCCCATCAGGGGCCAGTCATCTGATACCCTCTGGTTTCCAGAGAGAGTGAAGGGAGGTGGCAGGAGGAGGTGGACCTGCAGGCAACACCCACCGCTACCCGTATGTATTACACACTCCACCGCCAGCTGGCCCCAAGCCCACCCTGTGGGACCCCAAGGCCCCTTGCCAGCCCTGGGCTTGCCAGCAGCTTGGTGGCCTTGTGACCACAATTGCCTTCCTAAGACAGTGTTCGAGAGGAAAGCATTCAGCAATAATTCTGCTACACCCTGACTTGCATCTCCAGTGCCTGGCCTGTGTATTCACTCTTCCCTCGGACCAGCTTCCATCCTATTGCCCCCAGGATTTTGTATACACAGATGTATTTTTAAACTTTAGTTGTAAGCTCATAATACACATACTGTCCAGCAACTCACTATTTTTAAATGACTGATTAATATCATTAGCTACCTATGGAAAAGGTTTGGACTCAAAAAAATATGATTGTGATACCTATCTGTATTTGTGTGTGATTTTATAGCCTATTTTTATTGAAGAGTCCTCATATTATTGTTTTACCTCCTTTTTTTGTTTGACTTTTCTTTAGGTTTTTTTTATTTTTATTTATTTGCAAAACAAAATTACAGAGGAATGGGGGCAGGGAGAGACAGAGAAATTTTCAGTCTGCTGGTTCTATGCCCACGTGACCAGGCCGTGTTTCCCCTTCTTAGCTGTAGGATCGTGATAGGGTCAGGATAAAGTGCAGCATCTGACAAGTGCTTGACTGTTTCCCTGTTTGGGTTTCTCTCTTTAGGGTTTGGCTTTTAAAGCGATGATACCAGAATAAATATGGATACGGTATTTTTCATTTGTAGCATCATTTTCTGGGTGACTTGCAGAAATGAGCAACTGTGTGGGTGAAAAGGATGGCTGGTTTTCAGGTTTTGAGCCTAGGGCACGATGGGCAACCTGCTAATACTGATTGTGAGAAAGGGGCATTGTGAGCAGTGATGTCCTGTGTGGTTTTGCCTGTTTGCATTTCGGCTACAAAAGGAGATTATCTGTCTTATGCTTGAATTATTTTGCAAGAATTCTATATCTACCTCGGAAGGAAATTGATATGAAAGTCTGTTTCTCTCTTGGTTTTGCCTGCGGAGTAGCTCACCGTGTGCTTTCCTGCAGGACTGAATTTGCTCTCAAAGAAATCATGTCCTCTGGTGGTGCTGAAGACGACATCCCCCAGGGCGAGAGGAAGACCGTGACAGACTTCTGCTACCTTCTGGATAAATCCAAGCAGCTCTTCAACGGCTTGAGGTCAGTGGACTCGGGCTGCTCCAGATTCTTGGCTGGTGCCACATTCTTTTTCAAACTTGAGCTGTGGTAAATTCCTGCCAGGTACGCATAGAATGTTAAGTAGCTACCTGTGTAGGGGGCTTCAGAAGCCCTGGAAAATGGACCTAAAAAATGTTTATTTTGATGTAAAAATGTTTTTGAAATCCAAGTGTAGGTTTTTTCATGAAAACATGTTTTCATAATCTTTTTGAAGATCCTTTGTGTGTATGGGTTTGAGTTCTTTTCGCATCAAATTAAACTTTGTCTTTTCATTACATTTCCTATGAACTTTTTAAAGTCCCCTGTACTGAAAAGTGATCACTTTGCTTCTCCGTGACACTGTTTCTTTATTCTGAGAGGGAAATCGTAAGAAAAGAGGGTAATGAAGAACGGAGCTGTTGACTAAAGAAAAGATGACATTCTAGACAAATGTAATTTAAAAATTAATTTTTTATAACATTTATTTATTCATTTTTAGATGTATTGTTTTTTGATGTATTTATTTAGATTTTTAAATTTAGATTTATTTATTTTTAATGGAAAGGTAAATTTAGAGAGGAGATACAAAAATATCTTCCATTCACTGATTCACTCCCCAAATTGCTGCAATGGCCATAGTTGAGCCGGGCTGAAACCAGGCTGTCTCCTTCACGGGTGCAGGGTCTCAGGGCCTTGGGCCGTCCTCCACTGCTTTCTCAGGCCACAAGCAGGGAGCTGGATGGGGAATGGAGACGTTGGGACATGAACCGCCACTAGTATGGGATCCTGGCACATGCAGGGGACAGTTAGCCACTTGAGTCATCATGCCGGGCCCTAAGCAGTGTGATTTTTGCCTAAATTGCGTGTACCTGGTTGTAATTCAGAGTTTCGTTTCCTGGAATTATTCAGACCTTTAAATGTCCATACTCAACTTTCCTTTTCCTCCATTGTTAAGGCACATTTTATTCATCCAACATTGCACTGACACGTAGTTTGTCTCACATTCTGTAGTGGGTACAGAAAATTCTGAGATAAAGCTAACAACCCCTGCCCTCAAATAGCCTGGCAGGAAATTGCATAGACACAGCAGCCAGGGCTGTCTTCTGCTCCCTCTGCCCTGAGGTTTAGCAAAGCTGTGGAGCATATGTCCTGCTTAGCTCTGTGTGCTGATTGCAATTCAGGCAAATAAAGCATGGAGAGATGGCAGATTTAAAGGATTGGAATGCAATTAAAAACTCCCTTGAAACTAGCTCATCGAACTTTTAGCTGGTTGGATCCTCAAATTCTAAAAATACTAACACATGAACACAGCTGTATGTTCTCCACATCTCCTTTCCCTGCCCTGCAATTCCATTGGTGGAGGTGTGGTGACGTGCAGCAGCCCTGCCAGGGAGGGAGGGCTTACACGCAGTAGCTCCACTGATGGACTGTTGGTTACACATAATATAGTTCAGCCAGCTTCGGAGCTCTGTACTTCTCACCACAGTAACATTTGGGAAGAGTCTTGATCACTCAGTCCTGTGCCCGGGGACTCTGCAGGACCCAAACCCTAACCTGGTGACTGCTGATATGCTTTCTGTCTCTGTGGAATTGCCCACGTTGGACATTCCATGTAAGTGGAATCACAGTGTATGTGTGATCTTATATGATGAGCATCTTTCATTTCACATGTTTTTATGGTCTATCTATGTTGTAACATTTATTGATACCTCATTCCTTTTATTACCAATTAGTATTCCATTGTGAATTCATCAGTTGCTGGGCATTTTAGTTGGCTTGTGTTTTTTGGTTACGAATAGTAGCACTGTAAACCTTTGTGAATCTTTGTGAACGTGGACTTTCACTTTCCTTGATCATAAAACTTACTGGGTTACAGGAGAACTCTGTTTTTGCTGTTGTTGTTGTTGTTGCTGTTTGTTTTTTGTTTTTTTCTTTTTAAGATTTATTTTGGGGCCTGGTACCGTGGCCTAGCGGTTAAACTCCTCGCCTTTGAATGCTCCAGGATCCCATATGGTGCAGGTTCTAATCCCACCTGCTCCACTTCCCTTCCAGCTCCCCTGCTTGTGGCCTGGGAAAACAGTTGAGGACAGCATAAAGCCTTTGGACCCTGTACCTGTGTGGGAGACCTAGAAGAAGCTCCTGGCTCCTGGCTTCATATCAGCTCAGCTTCAGCTGTTGCACTCACTTGGGAAGTGAATTATTGATGGTAGATCTTCCTCTCTGACTCTCTTCTCTGTATATCTGACTTTCTAATAAAAATAAACAAATCTTTTAAAAAAAAGTTTTATTTTTTTTTATTGAAAAGTTAGATATACACAAAGATTCACTCCCCAAGTGCCGGACTGTCCTCGACTGCTTTCCCAGGCTACAAACAGGAAGCTGGATGGGAAGCAGGGCTGTTGGTATTAGAACCAGTGGCCATATCAGATCCCAGTGCGTGCAAGGCAAAGAATTTAGTCACTAGGCTACCACGCCAGGCCTGGGAACTCTGTGCTTCACCCTCCGAAGAACTCTCAAATTGTTTTGCCCAGATGGCTGAGCCACAGCACTGTATGAGCATTCCATTTGGCCCACAAGTCCCTGTCTTCATTGAGGGCGTCCTAGTGAGCGTGGAGCCCTGTGCTGTGGTCTGGTTGGCACTCTTCTGTTACTGCCTTCTTGTGTTTCTTGTTTGGAAAAATGTCCATTTGAATCCTCAGAATGTTTTAAAGATTGGTCTGCCATGCTGGCATCCCATTGGGGGCCAGTCTGAGTCCTAGCTGCTTCACTTCCAATCCAACTCCCTGTTCATTGGCCTGGGACAGCAGAGGAGGCCCTGTACCCACGTGGGAGACCTGGAAGAAGCTCAGGCCACCCTGGCTATTGGCAGCTATTTGGGAAGTGGACAGGTGAAAGCTCTCTCTCTCCTTCCCGCTAAGTAAAGCTGCCTTGCAAATGAAAATAAATAAATAAATCTCTAGCGGGAAAAAATAAATTAACTTTTTGTTGTTGTCTGTAAGTGTAATTAAGGTGTGTGTGTGTGTGTGTGTGTGTGTGTGTGTGTGTGTGTGTGTGTGTGTGTGTGTGTCTGTCCGTCCGTGTCCTGGATTCATGTTCCTTCTAAGTTGTAGGATTTGCAGGCCCAGTGCAGATGCCTAGTGGCTAAGGTCCTCGCTTTGCATGTGCTGGGATCCCATGTGGGTTCTGGCTTGCGTCCTGGCGGCCCTGCTTCCCACTCAGCTCTCTGCTTGTGTCCTGGGAAAGGAGAAGAGGACGGCTCAAAGCACTGGGACCCTGAACCCACGCGTGGGACCTTCAGGGGCTCAGGGAGTGAATCAGCGGAGAGAGGATCTTTCTCTCTGTTTCTCCTTCTCTCTGTAGATCTTACTTTCCAATAAAAAAATAAGTCCCTTTAAAAATTATCTTTTAAGTCTGAATCATAAATTAACTGCAAAACCTAGGAATTTTTCTTCTAGAGACTCTCCGCTCAAGTTTAGTCACTCTTTCCCACAGTAACAGAATACATTTCCACATAACATGCCATAGTGTGTAAATCATGTTCAGGTGCATTTCGATCTTTTGACACAAAATGATAGTATATAATACCAAAAACCTGTCACATAAGAATGAATTTGTTTTCACCTGACCTGTCAGAGGTGGATACAGGAACCCAGTGAAGTGGCCTGTCATCACTGGGTGGGATGCAGAAGTCAGGAGCTGAGACAGGACGGAGTCCAGGACTCGTGTGGGCTGAGAGCGGCTTAAGCCGCAGGCCAGAAGCCCACTGCTCGTTGTTTGCATTTGTAAAGATGATCTGATGAGTCTCTAGTCACGCTCTGACTCCACATCTGTGCAACTGCAACTTTCAATGTAGAACTATTAAAAAAAAATTCTGGTAGAGGTACAATGAAACATTGCCTGTGGCATATGGTTAAATGGGGAAAAAAGCTGCAAACACTTTTTAAAAATTTATTTTATTTTTATTGGAAAGTCAGATATACAGAGAAGAGGACAGACAGAGAGGAAGATCTTAAGTCTGATGATTGACTCCCCAGGTGACTGCAACAGCCGGTGCTGCGCCGATTTGAAGCCGGGAACCAGGAACCTCTTCCGGGTCTCCCATTTGCGTACAGGGTCCTAATAAGCCATCCTCCTCTGCTTTCCCAGGCCACAAGCAGGGAGCTGGATGGAAAGCAGGGCTGCTAGGATTAGAACTGGCACCCATATGGCATTCTGGTGTGTGCAAGGCGAGGATTTTAGCCACTAGGCCATGGCGCTGGGCCTGACAAAAACATTTTTTATTTCATGTTTCTGTTTCATCAGGTACTTTATATTAAACTTATCTTCTGTGCCATAATACCCTTTTGTGGGAACAACTTGCTCTCAGCATCCAAGTTGTTCTCTTTGTTCCTGGGGCTAACTGCCCCTCAGTGTGTGATGCCTGAGTGTGTGTATGTTCTGTGTTTGCTGTGTAAATGAAAGGGCTCCCTTGGGAGTCAGGTCTCGGGCAGGATTCCCACGGGTGGTGCGAGGTGACACCCTTGTCAGTATTTCTGTCCCATCTCCCTCTGGGGAGGACGGCGCTGCCCCATGTGAAGTCAGCGCTTGTGTGATTGCAAGCAACATTGCAGGCTTTCGCACTGCCTCCAGAGTATGTAAGAGGAGTGGTTTGTGTTGTTGCCCTGCCAAGGGCAGTCTGAATTAAAGCAGGACCTCAGTGTTTGTGGAAAGCAGAAGACACCCTGGTACAGTCAGGCCCAACGTGAGCTGGAGAAGTGGGGGGGGCGGAGAGGTGGCTGGAAGAGCATCCGCCTTTCCCATGGAGCCCTCAGCCCGTGCTGGCCGGTCACCATGTTTTCTTTTTTGTTCATCAAGTACAGCACACTTGAAAAAACGTGCATCCACTGTACATGCATTTTTGCAAACTGAAGCACACTCAGGCGGCCCGTCTCCAACGGAACACAGTCCCTCAGACCCACCACTGTCGGTGGGTTCAATGTCAAATGATCCCATCACTCTTGACG